ACCCCGTCGTTTTCCTAGCATCTGTATATGGGGAATGATGAGATCTGGCGTACGTCCATCGAGGAGAAATTCTCTAGAAAACTACGTAGGGCTCTAAGATATCGAGGTTGGATCGCGTATCTATTCAATGCAAGACATTTCAGATTCGGCGACCTATCAAATCTTCTAGCTATCTAAAGCCGCTCCTTCGTAGTTAGACAGCTGAGGGAGAACAAGAATAGCTTAGGGCGTTCGTGCAGAGTGGTGCGCAGCTAGCTCCACCATAAATCGTCGTCGCCGACAAGCCCACCTCGTCACATTGCTCAACGCGAATGCTAGTGCTGTTCGTTATCTGTAACGGTTTGGGCCTTGCCCAGATCAACTCTAGTACGAGTTAGGATAGCTCATGTACGGTCATCTATATATGTAGCTTAGCCCACCTCAGATAGTCAATTCAGCGCAGTCCTCCCCTCTATCTTAACACCGTCACAGTTATAAGCCCGGAAGCCTTTAATTAATCGCTGCGTTCACCCGTTACACGACACTTAACACTAGGAGCAAATTCAGCTATAGAAGTTATAGCAACTTAAGAGCAGGATATGCAGGTAGTGACGAGGTCGTTAGTTATCCTCAGAGAGCTAGATAACTAGTCGAAATAGCTATTCACGAGGAAGATCTCCGCAGACAGGAATAGTCTGTAGGAATACGTCGATTTAGATCTTTCGCTAGAGAGGCTAAAGAAACTAGAAGACGAGAGACCAAAAGAGCTAGAAGTGAGGAGGTTTAGAACTCCTCTTCTAGATAAGCAGATTAATATCCTAGACTTAACAGCGACTAAGCTCGCGACGTACAACTCCTAGGCTAGACGATTTGACTAAGATGAGGCTAGGTGGCTCACGAAGGAGAAGGCTCTCCGCAACCTAAGTCTAGAGATCGTACAGACGATCGACGTCAAACACCTAGACCTAATCCTTAATTGTGCTGATTTATACAGCCAGCTAAGGACGCTAAAGAAGCACCTCTATCTGTTAATTAGAGAAAGGAACTATCAGCTTAGAGCTTGTTACAGGACAGCCTGCACGAGGCTAAAGAGGGCTAATCTAGACACCTAGTTTAATAAGTAGGTTACAGTTACCTAACTCCTTACTAAAGCTAACATGCTGGAGATCGCTGGCAACAGAGCTTAAGAAGAGTTTATCCTGTTAATCTGTGGCCTAGATAATAGCTAGGCAGCTAGTTAGCTGCAAGAACTAGTTAAGAAAGAGCAGAAGGGCGAAGATTTCACGCCGACCTCAGATTTAATTGCAGAGTTTTAGTTATACTATTAACGCACTTGTCTAATAGCGTTAGGCCTTAGTATATTTACTACCCTTAAGGCAGCTAGCAGCAATAATCTGCAAACTTAATATTTAGACTAAAGTGTCCTAGGAGCTTAGACACGAAAGTGTATTTGTGATCTAATCTACAAGTTCGACTAGTGTCCTTACGTAAACTAAGCAATTAGGATAAAGGGCTAGAAGGCTAACGCATTAGTCTAAGAGAAATTTACGGAACTCTAAAACAGCTAGTCTGCAACAGCTAACGCTCTAAAGGTAGTAGAGAAGAAGATTAAGAAGTAGAAGAAAACAGCTAAGTCTAAGAACGCGTCTGTGATTAATATAGACGATAGACAACTAGCTAGTAATACACCTTATATTAACGCAGTACTGCAGACAGCAGTAGCGACAGAGTTGTTGGTACTACTACTGCTTATAAGGTAGATCCTAGACCCTAGTTCGAACTACTACGTTACGAATATAAGAGGAGCTAACTAGACTACAATAAAGAGAGGTAGACCTTTAGACTGTGTATACGCTAGTAGTGTGCTAGCTTAAGTCGAAGAGTAGGGTAAGACGTACATACACATTAAGACTCTAACTAGAGAAGGACAGATAAAGCTAACGTGGGTAGCATACATCCCTAGCTTCTTCACGAGCGTCGTTGGTCTGTCACAGAGCCGATCTCTTAGTATCCACTTTAACTTAGGCAGGGACTGTCTGTACTAGAAGAAGGCCTTAAACGTCGTCTGTCTACTCTAGTACAGAGACGGCTACTAGCTCGTTAATGTAGAGAAAGATCAGAAAGCCGAGCTGGATCTACTCTTAGTATATGCTACTTGATATACTAAGCCCTTAAAAGAACTAAGAAAGGACCTTAGCGTTACTTAGGAGACAGCGTACTAGATCTTTAGCTATATTAGCTAAAAAGCAGTAGAGTACTTAAATAATTACGTGCTTAGGATTAATGTTAAAGAACAATTAATTGCTCTAACGTAGAAAGACTGTAAGGTCTGTATTAAGATAAAGCTTTACAAGTTTATAAGCAGGAGAGCTTAAAGTGAGCTAGCTGCTAGTCCTTTCTATTATATAGGAATAGACCTAGTGCAGCTAAGAGAAAGAAATAAGCGCTGCTATAATAGAGATCTGTACATGCTACATGCAGTATGTCTGTACAGTAAGTAGTATAAGGCTGCATATCTACTTAACAAGAGCTTAGCTACCCTTAAATCTACAGTTATACGCCTGCTAGCAAAGATTAGAAGACAGTTCAGCGCTTAAGTTTTAGTCGTAAGGCTTAACAGTAAGCGCGGATACAGTAAGTTGCTGCACGTGCTTAGAGATCTCGGCATTATCGTAGAACCTCGAGCAGAGTATATAGAAGAATAAAACGGCCTTTCAGAACAGGCTAGGAAGATAATCGTGATCTAAGCGAGAGCGATTAGAATTAATAGACGACTGCCGATAGAACTCTTAAATAAGTGTTGTCTTGTAGCAGTCTACTTGCTTAATAGGACGCCTATAGAAGCGCTAGGATAGAGAACGCTATACGAGGTTGTACGTGGACAGAAGCTGTTAGCAGCTTACCTTAATATTGTAGGAGCCTAAGCTTACGTGCTAAACAATAAGCTAAAGCGTAGAGAGAAGCTCAAATCTCGCGCGCTAATTAGACAGCTAGTTAGATATAACTCTACGAACATATACTAAGTATAGATGCTAGCATTAGGACGAGTTCTTAGAACGTGTTACGGTAACTACTGTGGTTCCCTTGACACTAAACGCGCTACAGAATCCGAGTGCTCCGCTAAGCACCAGGATTCTGCTAATTGGCCGGCCGGGCCTAGCGCTATGCGCACGGCCCCTATCGATAACTTCTTACTGCCTGTACATGCTAATTCTGTTTCCTTACGCAACGT